AAATTTTGAGTTACATTGTGTTTTTTTGACCAAACCCCCCTGGGTGAAGTGTAATACCCAATATTAAATTTGTCAAATTTCAATTATCCAAGAAATTTTAAATTCTCTCTTCTAGTAGAAAACTTTCATTATCAGATGCAGAGAATTTGAAAAAGTAAGCAATGACAATGGTTTGGCCAAGATCTACAACAAGATTGTTGGCTTCCTATTAGAGGCCAAATATGCCTTTCTTGAAACTTGCGTACCCATATTGGATAGCGTTTTGGAAAGGTACTATTGTCAACACTCATACGAGCATAATGATCACTTCTAGATCCAACAAGAAATCTTATTTCAGGAGTTCCTGATCTGAATTTGCTGAAAAGAGCAACATAATTCGATTTCTCAGGTAAGAGAAATTCAAAAGTTAAAAAAGATCAGGGAATAAGATAAGGGAACTCATTCAGATACTACAGAAAGGAAGGAGAGCCTGAGGGAGGAGGATAAAAAGCAAATTTCTACTTTTGTGCCTAAACTGTGAAATGAGAAGTTGCTACAACATTTAGAATGATTCCGATCATGATTGATGTAATAGTCATAGCTAAAGTTGTGCATCTTCCCTGTGCTCTTGTTTCTTCTGTTGTGGCAATCGTTTGTTCTTCAAATCCATTAGCAACGGTGGTATGTAAAGAATAATAATCTGTGCACATGCACATAAATCCCTAATTGTGCGCTTCACAACTCTTATGAATTACCACCTCTTTAATGAACTTCATCCTAGGTGGATTCAAGATCGCTGTTGAATCAACTTCTAAAATAAATTGTGGCTCTAATTCCCAAAATGCAAGCCCTAAGAGTGGTGAGATGCTTCGCATTAATTCAATGGAACTCCTACAGTTGAATTCAGGAGATCCCTAGTTCAGTAGAATATCATATCAGCGAGCCCACAATCCTGTGTTTGCCGAAAGCACCTTGATGCCCTTGTTGCTCCTTGGTTAGATAGAGCGACAAATATAATTCCTGATTTTCAACACGTGGACAATATCCTTTGAGCAAGGTAGAGATCCCCAGGCTTCCAAAGCTTGAGTACTTCCCAATATGGCTTGATGTTTGCAATCCAAAAATCTCTTTCTCAATCCAACAAAGTCCTGTACCATTTTTGCTTGTGCCATTCCGAGTGAACTCTTATTGCCATTCTCATCATCTCCCAGTTTCTCTTTCTGTCTTCCAAAACTTTGTTCCATTCTTTTTTCCCTTTAATAAAAATAGATTTATGAATAAGGGACAGAACGTTTCAAGGCTTTCCCATGAAAAGAATCATTTGCTGATATAAAATATGTATTCACTTTCCTCATCAGAGAGGGGGCCCAATGGAAGCACTACAAGGAATATGAATCTATCACTATGTGGAAGAGGAACAGGTTCGTGGTGCCCATAACTTCTAAAATGCACTAAGATAGGGGCATAAATAGCACAGATACAGACATGTGACACGACACGGACATGCTGACATGACATTTTTCAAAAACTGCAAGACAATACATCTGGGCACATTAAAAATTAATATTTTTATAAATTTATTATGTGTCAAATATATGAATAGTTATTCAAAGGTAATGAAAAAAAGTAACGTAACATATTAGCATTCAAAAAATTATATATTCCATAACTTAAACATCAAGATATCATTCACATAATAATTACATTTTAAATAATACAAACAATAGTACAACATCGAAATCAGCATGACATATTCATCTTATAAATGTGTCAAAACATATTTACAGTGAAGTAGCATTCCGAAGAATGCAGAATATTGTTAGTATTAAGAGATTCATCACCCATGGTTATCAAAATTGCGATGCAAATCGTAGGATCGTATATGATTGTATGAGATCACATAGGATCGTAGGCAGGATCGTAAATAATATCGCTATATTTGTGATTTTTCAACTTAAAAATATATATCATCCTAATTTGTATTTTACCTCATTTTTAATAGAAGGTATAATTTTACGATCCTCAATCTAATCCTACGATCCGATCCATGAGACCCTCTCACCGATCCTATGTAGAATCCCGATTTTAACAACCTTGTTCATCAGATAGGTCATGTTTGGAGAGTTCAAGAAGTGTCACTGAAATATCTATCAATAGAGTGTCTAATGTTATAAAATTTTAATTTTAATTAAGACACGTGGAAGAATTGTGAGCTACACTTTAGAAATGTCTACAAAGTGTCAATGCCTGATATGACACGACTCCTCTATACAAGTTCCCATGCTTCTTATAGAGAAGCATGTTAACATAAATCCCGTAACTAGAATGTGTTCAAGTAATCCTAAATACAAGAATGATTTCTTTAAAAGTAGATGCTTAGTGAGATACAATATTATGAAAATGAAAGTTCTCTCAACTCAGTCTAGTTGCTTGCTTCTAGAAATTTCTTATATTAGAGTCAATCATATAAAGAAATTGAATACTTAATATCCATGTAAATATCGTTACATACATATGTATATTAAGCTATTAATGTTGCCATGAATCCTGCCTTGGATCTACACTTGAACAAAACTATTTCTATTTTCTTAAGACTGACTGACTTTCTTTTTTCTTTTCTTTTTTTGCATGTTTCTTGTTATGAGCTACACAAGAAAAGGTGTGGAAAAAGTTTTTTTTTTTAATCGCTAAATATAGTTCTGGAGAAGCCGTACTATGTTCCAAAATATGCATTCTAAACCACAAATTGCTAGGGGATAAAAAATTTTCAATTAACATTGATCTACACTTAATGCAACACGGTGACTGTTAGGCAAAGTCCTAGATAATTCAATTTACAACTCAAAGATAAAAAAACATAGTGAAAAAATATTAAATGTCCAAACAATGTACCATGGTCTTGCACATTATTAAACACTTTCATGCATACAAACATTATTTTAATAAATTTCAGGTCATAACTGGACAATGTTATTGTACGCTAATATAATACAGTAAACTTCATCATCTGAAATGTAAAATAAAAATACACCCTTGCTTTATCCATGTAATTGTTGCATTTTCTTTTTCCTTTTTTTCTTTTTCTTTTTCTTTTTTTTTTGGGATAAGCAATCCATGGTTGGCTTATCCATGCAGTTGTTTAATATGTGTTTTCTGTATTTTTTCAATTTTTGTGATCTACCTTTGGATTTTGATACTTTCTTTTGTAATGACCTGGTCAAAACCATGTGTAGCAAAGCAACCGAACACTAAAAGATTAATACCAAAAGATTAAAACCACACCAAATGCAATGTGATCCCAAGAAACAGTAGATCCCATCACAAACATGCTAGTCATTCAATAAGAGTAAGAAGACATAACAGAAAAGGGCACAAAGATGTCATTTTGTATACATCATGTATGTACAAGGTTGCAACCCCTTTGAGGTCAAATTGTGTTGCTAATGAAATCATTACATATCAAGAATAAGGAAACAAAGAACCAACATTGCTGGTGTGTACACTGAAATTGATGCAATGTACAAGGTTGTAACTAGCAACCCCTTCAATGTCTCATTGTTTCCTAATGAAATCATTACACATCAAAAATAACACCAAAACATTGCTTGTGTGCAAATTGAAATTGATGTACAGCTCTAAGGTAAACCAAACAAAAGAGAGGATATTAACATCCAGTAGGTGGTATTTTAAGTAATTTTCATATTTATGTGGAAGATAGAAGGCATAAATAGCTTTTTCCAAACCCTAAAGGAAATAAGAACACCAACCATTTCATATGGAAACCGCTTGCTGTAATCAGCTAGTTTCCTTCTATTTTGCTTACACAATAGAACAAAATAGAGGCAACAAAGCCACCATAATTGGATAAACGGATTCCATTATTGAATTGGCATTAACTAATTCCAAATTCTATTAGCTGCCCCATCACAAACATGCTAGTCATACAATAAGAGTAAGAAGACATAACAGAAAAGGGCACAAAGATGTCATTTTGTATACATCATGTATGTACAAGGTTGCAACCCCTTTGAGGTCAAATTGTGTTGCTAATGAAATCATTACATATCAAGAATAAGGAAACAAAGAACCAACATTGCTGGTGTGTACACTGAAATTGATGCAATGTACAAGGTTGTAACTAGCAACCCCTTCAATGTCTCATTGTTTCCTAATGAAATCATTACACATCAAAAATAACACCAAAACATTGCTTGTGTGCAAATTGAAATTGATGTACAGCTCTAAGGTAAACCAAACAAAAGAGAGGATATTAACATCCAGTAGGTGGTATTTTAAGTAATTTTCATATTTATGTGGAAGATAGAAGGCATAAATAGCTTTTTCCAAACCCTAAAAGGAATAAGAACGCCAACCATTTCATATGGAAACCGCTTGCTGTAATCAGCTAGTTTCCTTCTATTTTGCTTACACAATAGAGCAAAATAGAGGCAACAAAGCCACCATAATTGGATAAACGGATTCCATTATTGAATTGGCATTAACTAATTCCAAATTCTATTAGCTGCCTTGCAGCCTACCTCCAAAGTAAAGATTGACTAGTTGACAAGGCTGGAATAATGGCACTAATTGTGCAACCTTCTTTGGGCCCACAAAGAGTAGAAGTAGGCTTGATTGTAATCAGGCAACGTCCTTCTATAAAATGTCTTACAATATAATATCTTATTTCAACTAGTTATGCAGAAATTCAAACAAATCAAAAGATGAAGTTCAATGAAATTTTTAGCAGCTGTTGGAAGCATTTTCCATTGGGAAATATGGGTATCAGACAACAAACATAAACATTTTCAAGAGTAGATATGGTCCTTCACCTCCTTAAAGGTTAGACTAGTCCCTTTGTTTTTGTGGTGGGTTTGACCCTTGTAAAACACCTGTTTGGTATTCCCTTAATAGCAAATTAGAAACAAAGCAGCTGATGGAGACTAACAATCGTATTGTCATTGCTTATACTGTAACAATATGCTAGCTGCTAAGATGAAAAAGATCACAAAGTTTGTTCATACCAAACTTTTGTAGCAAATTGCATTCGTGGAGGTTCAAAAGGGTACCCATCTGCCAAAACACCAGAACAATTTAAGTAAAAGACAAGGATTTAGATGTAATATTAATTCATTACAAACTAACAACAAATGACAGACATGAAATTTATTTATACCCAGACATTGCAAAAATCATTATGGCCCCCTTTGCATCAAATATTTATACTTAAAAATATCAGTTTCTTTCCTTCAAAAACAGGCTAAGTTTAGTACCATTTTCATTTTAGATGTCTTCATTTTTTGTGTCATCAGAAACAAAAAGTTTGAAAACACGGCTTTATGATTATGCAAAAACATTTTCAAAATCCAGAAGATTTCCCCAAAAACAGTTTATCAAACAATTTTTTTGCGTCAATTTCCAGTTTTTCTGTTTTTAATAACAGAAAACAAAAAAAATGAAGGCATTTCCAAAAGTGCCCTAAATATTGTAGAAAGCACTACCTTCTACTGAAAGCAATTCCGCAGTTTTCCATCCTACTTCTAGTTCCTAAAGTACTATAACCCCAGCCTGTCCTCAAAATTGTAAAGCACTACCTTCTACCAAAATGCAGACTTTAAACCATTACCTCAAATGAAACCCCTTATTCCTATTTCTAAAACCCATTTTTCCAACACATTTCCAGCCGTATCTAGCTAGTAATCAAAAAGAGATTTTCAAGTAGTGCATTAAATGCATTGGATGACCACCCTCCACTGTGGACCGTTAGCACTTTATTTGTTTCAATCGCAACCGTCTATTAATATTCTGCTATGAAAGAGAATAAAAAAATGATATGTGAGCCGCCTATTCCAATTTTATGACCAAAATTATCACTCAAAAACTGGTTTATTTACAAATATGCGAAAGATCTGTATATATCTTCCCTTTCTCCTATGCACAACCCAATTTTATGACCAGACGGAAAAATTTATACATACCTCTCACACATATGTATGGAACCCTCGTCTTAAATGATCAATTTTGTCACTTTTCCATTCTCTTACAGTAGCAAAATGTTAACAGAAGGTTAAGATTGAAACAATTCAGAAATCAGGGGGCAAAAAATAACAATTTTTAGTTGAACACAACAGAACTAAAAACCCTAGGCCTAAATTCCAGACTCAAATTTTGCAAATATATATACACATGTAACATCAGCGCTAAAAGCGACAATAAATTGATCTAAAACCCTAAAAAAATTGAAAGAAAACGAAGAAGAAGAAGAAGAAGAAGAAGAAGAAGAAGAAGAAAAGAATACCGGGCAAGATAATGTCGATGTTGAAAGTGCCGCCTTCGTAAGGAGTGGCGAGAGGACCAGGAATCGTTCCGGCCAAATGCGTGAGATTGTCGCCTATAGGCTTGATGCTTATGCCCGAGACATCGTTGTCTTTGTTGCATTCTTGAAGCTCCTTCTGTACGCGAGCGAAATCCACCATCTTCAAACAAATTTACAGAGAGATTGAGAGAGAGAGTGCGAATTGAAGCTAAGGAATGTGTGTATAAATACGCATCGCACACCCTCGCACTCTCTCTATCTTTGCTTTTCTTTGATGCTGCTTTACCTTTCTTTTTGTATGAGATAGGCACCGAGTCCACAGAGTAGATTCCTATTTTACAAGTTGTTGGGCAGAGGGTGATGAACGAATCAAACCATTTCAATTATATTTGTTAAGTTTATTTTGCAATTTGTTATAATTTTTTGGGAAATTTATTTATAAGTTATTTTTTAGACATTTATGGTAAGTTTAGTTTTGTGTAATTTTTTATAGAGTTTTCAGTCTTATTTAGATAGGAATGTATTGCACAAAATCCTACATAAACGTGACGTGACACTTAAATAAACGTAACGTAACATGACACCTATATAAACGTAACGTAATGTGACACCTACATAAACGTAATGTAACGTGTCACGTTACGTTTCGCAAACTTAATAAGTTTTTATTTTTTTAAATTGAATGTGAAAATATTGCTGATTTATGTTGGTGTCACGTTACGTTTCATATAAATATGATATATGCTAATATTTAATTTCCTATATAGGAAATTAAATGTTGTCATATATCATAGGTGTCACGTTACGTTTATGTAGATATGATCTATGGTAACATTTTATTTCCTATCATAGGTGTCATGTTACGTTTATGTAGGTGTCACGTTACGTTACGTTTATGTAGATAGGAAATTGCATGTTACCATAGATCATAAGTGTCACGTTACGTTACGTTTATGTAGATAGGAAATTGCATGTTACCATAGATCATAGGTGTCACGTTACGTTTATGTAACGTTACATTTATATAGATATGATCTATGGTGACATTTAATTTCCGATATATGGTTTTACTATTATTTATGATATTAACAACTAATTTGAAGGTAAATGTATCAACAAACTTCCCACAAGGCTTATGGGAACATAAGTTTTTAGTAGGACCATATGTAGCATAAGTCTCCCTAATAAGACTTATAACTAATTTTTCCTAATTTTTAAATTAAATTTTATTAATTAATTGTTGGTTCAGTTAGTTTCGATAAGTCTAAAATTATATTAAAAAATTAAATTATTCGAACTTGACTTAATAAAAACTTATTTAAGATCTGTTCAAAACTTTAACAAATCAAACTTGAACGAATTTTAAAAATCATTAAAATTATCCAACAAAGCTTGAATACTTAACTCTTTTGCTCATTATTATCTCTAAATGGGTGTTTGGACTTATTTATAAGTCTTTTTTTCAGACACTTATGGTAGGCTAAGTCCTAAGTAAAAACTTATATTCTCATAAGTTCTATGAGAAGCTACTTGTCACATTTACCCTTAATAGTAAATGTTAAAAAGAAGTAGATATGTTTTGTACCTCTACGCTAATGTAAACGGCTGATTCAGTTGTTAACATTTCAAAACTCACCACGAACAGGAGAAGGGGCGCGATTCGACGGAGACGTTCGAGGGGAAGGTGATAACGGTTACCGTTTACGGTGAGAATGAGGAATGATGACTTCGAAACGTAAGTGTGGATTTGCCCATGTTTCGCAATGTTAATTTATTTGATTTTTATTAACAACCCAAAACTAGGGTTTATGTGACCTTCAGCCGTAATCTGCTTTGTTATTTGTTTGTTTTGTGGGAATTGTGATAAATAATTGATTTTATAGTTTCCAAATTGGAAATAGTATGTATGTTGGGGTTGTACGATGGAGGTTCTGCGGGTTGACCAGTGTGGGTGATTTATGCTTGATTCGTTGTTGTATTGGGTTTGCTAGACTATTTTGGGGGCCACAGTCACATTCATTAATTGATTTTATTTTTATTTTTTTTTCGATCCGAGCATAGTATTGGGTTTGGTTAACTATTTTGGGGGTTTCTTGTTGTGACATGATGTCGTTTGGTGTGCGCCTTAACTTTTTAAAACCAGTTGTTGAATGTGAATGGTGCCACATCTTGGTGTTGTGTGTTGTACAGTTAATGAATGTGATTGTGGCCCAATATGAAATTAGTGTCAGATGTGAGTGGAAGCACATGTAAGTTAGATTGTGTGTACAGTGCTACGTTGTGGTACGATGTCGTTTAGTTGTTTTCACTCAGATATACAAGTAAGTTGTCGTATTTTGATCTGCTTGCATGTTTGTGAATTTGTCAAATATTCTAGTGACAGTGTTTGTAGATTGTGGCATGGAGAGAAACAAAAAATGTAACATGATTTGGGTTGTGTGGTTGTGATTTGATGTAAGCATATGAAGAGGTTACGTTTGCTTTGATAGTTGTTTTCGTTGACAAGCTTCACGTAACACATCATCTTTATTTTTTGAATCATGGTCGTGCATGTGGGTGCAAAATCAGTTTCAAATTACTGAGTTGTGTGATAGTAAATTTTGTTATAATGTTTTTTGGGAATTTCCGGGGTGAATATTACATGTTTGAATTGTGAATGTGACATTAGTCACAGTTACATCAAGTACTTCTCATTCACATTTGGAACCATGGCCGTGAATGTGTGCACGTAATTTGTCACAGTTAGATCAAGTAATTCTCAGTCACAATTGAAACCAGGGTCGTGAATGTGTGCGCGACATTAGTAACAGTTACGTCAAGTACTTCTCAGTCACATTTGAAACCAGGGTCGTGAATGTGTGCGCGACATTAGTCACAGTTACGTCAAGTACTTCTCAGTCACATTTGCAACCATGGCCGTGAATGCGTGTGTGTAATTTGTCACAGTTACATCAAGTACTTCTCAGTTACATTTGAAAACATAGCCGTGAATGTGTGCGCGTAATTTGTCACAGTTACGTCAAGTACTTCTCAGTCACATTTGAAACCATGGCCGTGAATGTGTGCGCGTAATTTGTTATAGTTATGTCAAGTACTTTTCAGACACACTAGTCACGTCACGAACATACTAACATACGATGTTACGTATTACTATTGAATTACATATTCATATACGTTTTCAGTGGGATCTTGCTTGTATATGAAATTTGAAATTTTCACTAGGATCTTGCTTATACTTTTCATTAGCTGGCATGTCTGACAGTAGTCACAGTTACGTCAAGTACTTCTCAGTCACATTTGAAACCATGGCCGTGAATGTGGGCACGTAATTTGTCACAGTTACGTCAAGTACTTCTCAGTCACACTAGTTACTTCACGAACATACTGACATGCAATGTTACGTATTGTTATTAAATTACATATTCACATACGTTATCAATGGGATCTTGCTTGTATATGAAATGTGAATTTTTGATGGCATTTTTTTCAGGAGGCACAATTAAAGGTACACCACAGAAAGGCTGCAAGGCAAAAGTGAGCAGCAGTGCAGGGACTACAACTGGTAAAAGACGGTGGTCTCATATTCTGTCACAGAATGTGAACGCATTAGGGCAAAGCAGTGCCCGAAAAGGAAAGAAGCTGAAATATGAGCCTCAACAACGACTGAACAAACAACCAACATTTTGTTACCGTTCCAATATTGCTGAAATTGTGAAGCTGGTGGCAACGTCAAAACTGAAAGACGAGCATTTGCAATATCTTCAGAAAAACACCATTCTGGTTGCTGTTAGATGCGATGCGAAAAGCCGATCTAAACCAACATGAATTTCAAAAATGCGATGACATTGTAATGAGGATCATTCAGACATTTGTTCTAGAGAAGTCGGCTTTCATGATTGGTGGTAAACACATTGAGTTGACGAGCATCGATATGCAACTAATATTTGGAATTCAGGGTGGTAAGAAGAGTTTAGATGTGTCACATGGGCCAAGACTCCCGACTGACTACATCAAACGAAGGTGTCCCAAAATACCACGCTGTAGATGTCCCCAAACGCCCCGGGAGGGTGAGTCCCGTTCTGTTCATTTGGGGTCACTACAGCTCAGGACTCTCAAATTTGTCACGGTTCTAAGTCTGAACCAAAGAGTCCAAATCCGGCAAATCGTTTTGAGAAAACAGATTTTTGAAAGAAGTGCCAAACATGGACTGCTTTGCCAAATACAGAGTCGCCACCTAAATGTTTTTTTTTAATGGGAAATTTAGGAAACCCTGACTCGGTGCCAAAGGCCACGTGTCCGTCATCACCAAAGTTGCCTCGGCTCGGGAACTTGGGTACGATTGGGGAAGGTCACTTCGTGAGCACCCCCGCTAGCCCGATCAAAGATCGGCCTCTACTAACCATGATATCTATTTTTGAAAACTTTATATGTCCTTATTCCGGTTATTGGCCTAGGTTACTATGTGATGCACACAGCATATAAGTATAGACTGGATCGTCTGAATTGGAACAAAACATTTCATGTTTGTTTATTTGAAAATGGTTTGATGGTGCTACCCGCAGGTAGGCTAAGACGTGGATTTACCACCCTCAGGTGGGCTTAGAAAACACATGATTTTGCCACTATCTAGTGGGCTTAAAACAACACACATTTGATGAATTGTTCCAATCCAAATAACCCAACCTTCACCCACAGGCATTCAGGCAGTTATATCAAATAAGCATTTAGCCTTGTGGTAAGCATGCTATTTATGGCAGTCACTCACACGCATGCAAGGATGCTAAAGCATAAAACTTACCGAGTACTCCAAGCCAAAACAAAAACTCATTAGAAATCTATGCATGAATCCTAAGTATACAGAAATGCCTAATGCAACACATGCAAAAATGCAACTATAGCAGGCT